TACTTAAATTAAAGATATCGGTACATTGACCAGAACAAAAAGCATGTCTAATGTATTTTGGACCTCTCTGGTGTATTTGAAGGTGCTCTACAGATCCAGTATGTTGCAAACTAGGGTTTCAATAACCCACATGGGGGAAACAGGTATGTATTTCCATTTAACATAATTGGTCTTAACTAGTTACCTTTAAACTGAGTAGCTCCAAACGGCACACATTGACTAGTTCTGCCATGCAGTTTTGTGGCCACCACTACTACTTTTTTTTTTTTTTTCGGGGGGGGGGGGGCGGGCGGGGAGGGGAATTCTCTGGTCACTTTACAGATTACTAATCTTGATGTTTCACCACCTAGAAAATCCATTAATATGTACCAAAACCTATCAATTCATTTTGTGTGTGTATAAAGATTTGTTTATCTTATCACCAAGAACAAAGTAAGCATGCCTCTACAAAACTCCACAAAAACAAAATTTATGCAGATGTCTTTCCTTTTTGGTTTTCCTTTAATTTGCAAATCTTGTAATCTAAGACTGAAGTTGACTGAACCAACATCTAAACCAGCATTGTAGTATCAGCCAAAAAACACAATCTGTTTCCCATTTATGTGTCAAGACTGTATCCTTCTTGGGGGCTGCGAAAACTATTGTTTTGAAAAGATTATATAGTGAAACCATACTAGACATTTCAGTCATTTTACTAGATGGAACGTTTGACTTTTAAAATACAAAAATGTGTATACCAAAAGCTAGTCAGAAACTCAGATACAAGGCAAAAGTTTAGAAAACACAAATTTCATCTTCCCTGGTAAAATACTCATTGTGGGGAATACAAGGATTGAGATTAGTGGCAAATCTCTCTACAGAATTTTTACATAAAGCAGGTGCCAGAAATTAATTTCAAAATGCAAAGTTTAAAATCTTAGATACACTAAAATAAATTTTTTTTTAAAGCAGGTTCTCAACCATGACTGTTACAAAGAATTTAAGATTTAAAATTAAGAAATATTAAACTGAATGTTAATACTGATATTCAAAGGAATGTAAGTTTTATCAGCATATATTACATCAATGACTACTATTAGGTTACATTACAAAAGAGATGCAACCCACACACCAAGTTACCCAGAAGTTGATTTCTAAGTTAATATGTTGTTAAATCTATGGGAGACATACTAAAAATTAACAAGATATTTTTAGACCTGTCAAAAATCTGTAATTCAATAAAACATTAGGGGATCGCCAGGGTAAACTACTGTATTTCTAAGTTACCAAAGAGGTCTTTCACCATGTAAATGACAACGAAAAAAATTTCAGGAATGAAATATAAATCTAAACATTGATTTTAGGCAAACATTAATTTGCATAAATTACTTTTATACCCATCTTTTTTTCACAATGAAGGAAAGAAGTCCTAGCATATTATTCATTAATTTCTTTCCATTGAAGTACACGGTACATTACAGGGATAGCAAAAAATATTGAAGTTATTTAATATAAGTGATATTTTTGAAGTTATTAATTCATGACTACTTGAAAATTCTTTGGATTCCAGATTGACAAATGTTCTACATTAAAAAGAAAACCTTTTTATCATATTTCCCTCATTATAGTGTATTTACTTTACAGCTAAAGGAAAAGAGAAGAATTTCCTGATGGTAACCACTAATGCAGACTAGTGGTCAGAACCAGGAAATCCCAGCTCCTAACTTGAACGTGTCAATATCTCATTGATATAGTCCTAAAAGATAAAATACTATTAAATGACAGTGCAGTGGATCTAGATAAAAACTATATTCTATCAGATTTGTATTACTTTAATGGTTTAGCATCTTTAACGCTTAAAAAACTTCCTCATGTAATTTTCATACCTGCTGAATTCAAATTTCTCAAAGATTTTTATGCATCTGAAGATAGGTACATGAGTCCATAAAATCACAAAACTTATCAACACATTTTTAAGTATGATCGTTCATCTCTCATGCAGAACTGTGTACACACAGTATTAATAGCTCTTTAACACATATGTTTTCTTATGGTCAAGAATATCATGTGACAATTTACAGTAACTCCTAAACTGTAATGAAGAGTTAATAACCTACTAAGGTTTTATCATGTCAGGTGTAAAATGCATTTATTCTTCACCTTCCATCCAAAAAATTAATAACTTCAAAACTTTCTACAAGAGCTACTGAAAATGGATTCTATGTAAACGATTGCCAGGGAAAAGAATTTAAATTAGAGTATTGCCTCCAGATACAGCAAAGTCCAAAAATATTCTTCAACAATAAGTCATTGTGCCAGCCACCAAATCTTCCAAAGTGTTAACGATGTCCCTTATTTATTAATAACAGATAACAACAAAAACTTATTTGGAAATCTCAAAATTACCAGGGATGTTCCAGGAAAAGAGTAACAATAGCTGCAAATTTGAGCAGAGCAACCAGACGTCAGAAATTTTCAAGAATTGGTAGGGAAAATCCAAATGATGATCAAGGCTGAAGAAGTCAAACTTTTTCCCCAGGATCATTCTCATTGGTAAATGGTTCTGACAGATTTTAGACAATAACCTGGGTAAAATTTGAATGGGAGAAAGCCAGAGGACTGTTGGAAGTAGCAGAAGCACTTCAGGAGGTCACACGTTTCTCCTCTAAAAAAAATAACAACCTGGTGTCCTAGTGCCCTGGGGATAAGGGCAGGGGGGCTGTGCTGGTGGACTTGTTTTCTTTTGAGACTACATCTTGCAAAGATAAGGACATTGGCTCTATTGACATAATCATGTCCAATCTCATTCAGTTTATATTAAAGAAAGACAATGTATTTTAATGTATCAGCGTAACAGATTGTGTGTTGGAAGACTTGGATTTCACTTCTGGATCTGTTTTGGACTAGTTGCCTTTGAGAAAATCATTCAGTCTTTTAGACACTCCATCTACCTTTCTGTTCAATGGGAAATATTTTAGTGTCAGTGTGACATCATTTCACTGATTATTTCACCTGCCATTTCAGTAGACAGAATAGGCCTCCTATTCCCTGCACATTTTCAGTAGTGTGCTGACAGCTGCAGTATTTCATGCCATAGCCAGCATAATCTCCAAAGTAGGTGAGGAGATGACTGTAGTGAAAATATCAAGTGCTTTAGAATAAATGCTCTAGAACAAATGTAGTATTTTCTTCAGATATACGACTAAACAAGGTGTTTTATCTGTCCACAACCATTAAGATATACAGGAAACGATGTTAAGCACAAAACCTCAAGTTAAGAGCAGAACTAAAATTGTGATTCAAGTTCAGAGGCCCTTCGTAACACAGCTGTTTTAGTGCTCTACACAAATTCTTTATGCATAACAATCATTATAGAAATGTAATCAAATGATCTATGAATGTAACAGAAGAAAAAAGTGTGACAGTGTGACACTCGAGACAATTTAAAAGAGTGTGACTCCAGTTGAGGGCATACTATCAAAGAACTCTTAACCTGAAAGGGACTGACAAAATAGGTAATTCGCAAGGACTTTCAAAAATAACTTGCAATGAACAGTAAATGCAGAAAAGTGCTTCAGAATTTTCTGTTGAAGGTTTACCACCATGAGCAAACTGGTTCTTTATTAAATGGGTAAAAAAGAGCGTGTAGCACAGTCTCCTTTTTTTAATGATGTGCTAGACTTCTTGTAACAGTGAAAAGCCTGATTTAAAATCTTCTATTTGCAGATATTTAACTACTGATAAGTAGTAACACAAACCTATCCATTCATTTTGAAAACATACGAGCTTTTTTGTGTAGAAAAGCAGAAACTACCAATAATCTTTGAATTATTTTCCGTTAACTGAGGAATACAATAACACAGTGAAAATAACGATCTTTATAGTTCATTCATTTCTCAGATATCTCAGATTCTAAAGCAAGGCTATGAAGGGAAGCTTTTTCCATCCAACATATCCTTTACGTATATAAATACACTGTTTGGATTAAGACAGAAACTCCTACAAGAGCAGTATCTGCATCTCCGGTTACATGCACTCTTATTTAGAAAAAGTTATTCACGAGATTACGTACACTTACAGGGCGGGGAAAAAAGGAGAAAAGTCTCTATAAACAGTTTTGCAAGTTGTAAACATATCAATAGAAAGACATTTCACTTCTTTGCCCTACATGGTTTTTGTTTTAAACATTTAAGGCAGGTAACATTAATATTCTAGTTTAACACAGTAATAATACATACAGAGAAATTTACAGAGACTTCATAGTCTTCCTCCACACCCAGAGTGATTAAATTCTTAATTGAAAAATGTGCGGCACAGAATTAGTCTTACTACTGTAAGAAGATTTACTTCAACTGTTTAGCCTTTGAATTGCTGTGTAAAGGATTACCCTTGAAAAACAAATATTTCCCTGTAGGTATAGATATAAATCCTTTGCATCGTCTGAATCAACATATCAAACAGACATTAAAATACCTTAAGGCCCTCTTTTATAAGAGGATTGGTACAACAATACTGTCCAGAGAGCACAAGACAAGACTGTTAACTTATTTTTCTAACTCAAAGAAGTAGATTTAACATGTATTTTGCTAATAAAGTGAGTGGCTGTAACAATGAAATTGCTTGGTGCTTGTAATTCATTTGGTATATGACTGCTGCTTGAAAGCATCTCTTAACTACTTTTTAAGACACAGAGATTGCTTTAGACACTTCTCAATAATAATTCTGACCAGGATTAGTATCAGAAAAGGCTAATCATAAAATTGTGATTACACTGAGAACAAAATAAACTTAAAACACCTCTTCATCTATTTTATATCAAGAGTCTCTATTTTTTTATTCCTTTTAAAAAGCTTAAGTCATAGGCAAATGTGTGCTGACACACCGAAAAAAATTTAAAAGCACTTCACAGTGTTATCCCATGAGCAAAGAGGGAATAGAGCTTTAAAGATGTAATCTACTGGGTTTTTTTAGATGACATTACAATTTATATATAGGACTTTATTCACGAAAATTATTCTTACCCAGAAGATCCAATGCTTTTGCACACACCAAGAAGAGGCCGCTTCTCAGAAAAATTATCACATTTCTGAGCACCTAAAGAGGGAAAACAAAAAAAGAAAAAGCAAATCACTATGTACTGTTTGTGTTACCTTTCAAAGTACAGCTGTGTATGTTGTGGGGGCCCAATATATTGGAAGGATATTGAATATATAAAACAAAAGTCACAGCCTGTACAATATTAGTAATAGAAATACAAATAACAGGCAGAGTCATGAACACTGGAAGAACTGTTCGTGAAAGAGATGGCAATGAGTAACAAAACAAGTAGCAAAATCGGGCCAGGACTTGGGAGTTTTTTTCGATTCATTTCAGTTGGGGTTAAGGATTCTGTAACTGCAACAAGTAACACTTGCTCACTTTTCATTGTTTTGTAAAAGTAGTCTGTAATAAGGCTGTCACCAACTCTGCATGGGTTTCACACATTGGTTTCCAATTTATTCTACTGAGGTAGAAGTGGAGTACAAGAGTGTTAACCATAAGAGCGCAACGTAAGAGCAGCCACTCCAGCACGTGACAAGCTGGGCTGCTAGTGTTTGCCCAAAGCACGGCCACGATTACAGCCCATGCCCTGTGCCTAAGAAAATACAAGATTAAATTCAAAACAGTCTTCAGTAAGTTCTGCCACGAAGCGATTTAAGCCTTTAAAGAAAGCAACCTCCAGTGAGACTCAGGCTATGCCTGCTGTTCACTCAAAGTGAAAACACAACTCTAAAACCAAATCCAATCTACTTTTAAGATTAGCTTCACCAGGTAACACCCCAGCAGCAGAGTTTGGCATGGGCTCGTCCTCTGCTCTAATTCAGCTGCTGCGACTGTTCTGCCTGCCCAGGGATCCATGCGTGCCGCCACCGCTGGCACCAGAGGTAGGCAATTAAAACCAGCCTTTCGTCTTCCCAAATTGCAGTCACACCTTCACTCCAGATCCGTCAAATTGTTAAATATGCCACACTTCTTAAAATGGTATTTTAAAAGTTTTAAAAACTTCGCCTTATTGCTATGTAAATAGAAATAAAACTAAAACTGAGTCAAAAATCTCTCTTCTACTTGTGAACAATGTTTTACTAAATTCCAGGGTATGCTTCTACCCAACTTAAATAATAGAATAACAACCAACAATGCTACTAAATTTCCTCTGTTTTCTTTCAACCTTTGCCTTTTTAATTATCTATCTATAGGTATATATGTAGTGAATAATGGAATTTTTTTTTCTCCATTATGCAGCAAACTCTTTGATCTATAAAGAATATTAGTGATATAGTCTGTTCAAAATTTAATTCACAAATACTGGTGTAGCTGCACTAAATCAATTATTCAGAAAGGCACAACAATTAACAATATACATTTTCACATAACAGTCTCTGTTAATTATTAATAACTTAGGTACATGCAATTAATTTATAACAAAAACTGTTCAGTACTCTCATCTGTACAAGGATAAGTCTTCCCTCCTACACATTTGAGTATTTATAAAGTCAAACGGGTCACATCAATAATTTCACCATCAACAATAGCTTTACAAGTAACCTAAAACAGCCAAATGTATTTTCCTTTTATTCCTATTATTCCAAGGGCTTTTATGAGTCATACCTGTACTGTATGTACTGACCTGTAAATTGATAAATGAAACATATAGTCTTCTTAAGAATCTGGCAACCAATTTGTTTTCTTCAGTACAAGTAACAGATGAACTCCATTTGTTTCTGTTCACTTAGCTAGTCTCTCAGCATTAAGGGTGAAATGCTGACTACCAGGAGTTCTGACATTGATTTAAGTGGAGCCAGGATTTTACCTTAAGTATTTAACTATACTTTTTTTTTTCCCAACTAGGATATATTAGAGATATGAATTCATATGTTTCTTTATGGTCTAGTTCTAAGTTTAACGACAAGAAAGGAGGAGCAAAGGGAAGAAAGGTGGTGGGGAGGACAGGGAAACAACTGCACAAAAGGAATACCAGTTTTTAATACCCACGATACAGATTTGCAAAATTTGTACAATAGGTGCTTAAACTTCCGATTTCAGTCTGTAATTACTGAGGCCCTCAATTAAAAAAAAAAAAAAAAAAATCCATTTTCTACTTCAAATATATACCTTCAGAATGTAAATATTAATACTGTAGAAAAGGATCATTATTTTGAGGACTCTGCAGGGCATTAAATCAGGTTAATAGCAGTCCCATTCATGAGATTGCAAAAACAACATGTGTTGTTTTCTGCAATGCTTAATGGAGTCAGCAACCCCTTCTAGTTCTGCGGTGGAATTTAATCTTCCAAGTTATAGTGGATTAATTTTTATTTGTAAAATTGTGTTTATTTGCATGTGCAATATACTGACGTTGTACACACCTGCTCCACACACAGTGTTTAACAAAATGCAGCAGGATGATTGAAATGAAAAACAGCTAGCTAAATCCCTCAAATACAAAAAGTATTGAAATCCTGTTGCAAAGTCTTTTTCTTAAACTCCTTTTATTCTAAATCCTTTTAATTCTGTCATACAACACTACAGCATTTGTAAAAAGCTGAAAATCCTGACAAATCACACAATTAAAGTAATGAAAACTGTCCTTCCTGCCAACAAGGCACCACCTTATCTACAACTCCATTTAGCTAAATGATATATGTTTTTTTAAAAACACAAATCTAACTTCAGTTAGTATACTTAAAGCTGAAAAAAATATCTGTGGCTAAATTAAATTTCATACAAATCAACATTTAGAACTCTATGAAGTCAAAAGGTTATCCACACATGAACTCAAAGCAGCTTATGTACTGTAGTTCTGATGAAACTGTGAATAGGTATCTCTTGGGCCTACTAAGGCCTCTCAATAATGCCAATAATAATAGTAAAAACAACAACAGCAGCAGCATACCTTTTTGAAGAATAAAAATGAAACTCCAGTGATTTTCACAGGAACTCAAAAGCTACTCAAAACTATGAAAAGTGGCCTCGTTTCCCTTGAGTAAGAAATACAGTGTATAAATGTCAAATTCTGACCTATTTAGCAATAGCATATATGCACGATGCAGTATATTTGTCTGGTATGTAATTCCACTGATCAAGTTCCATCGCAGCCATTTAATAATGCAGTGCATCTCCTGTTCAACTAAACCCCTCTTATTTCTATCAGTTACTTGAAAGTTGTGTTGCATTTGTGGTCCTGCCCCACGTCAGTGTAGTAGCCAACCGGTATCTGGAAATGCATTAGGCCACATGGCTGGCATTCACCACACACCGTTTTCACACCCTATTTTGCTTCTTCCTTTCACGGAGGCAGGGGGGGGAATCTTTCTGAACACTTCTTAATCACTACTATTTTGTGTCTGCTTTCTTATTGAACACAAATGCAAAAAAGCATACGTGCCACTTGAAACAGAAGTGAAGAGGTTCGAGTCACTCCTAAAAATAGTGTATGAATTCTTTCCTCACCCTCAGGGTAGCATCTATAAACACTCCATTTCCTGCACAGATAAGCTCTAACTGCATTACTCGGTATCATGCCTGATCAATGGCACTGCAACTGCTGTCCTCATCCCAGACCTTCAGGTGCTCCTTTAGGATTAATGTTCTAGACCATGAGCATCATATCATTCTATCTCCCTTAACTCCTAGCATCGCCCAGACATTTCAAGTTTCAAATTTCTCTCTCCAATACTTGCATCATCATACCTGTTTCCTACATCCCCCAAAAGTCATCACCCTAGAACCCCTCCAACTCCAGTTGATTTCCATATCTACTGCCTCCTCAGCCCATTCCACCCTCCCATTCCTCAGATGACAAGACAGCAATGTTACAAGAAGCAACGGTGGCTGGAGAACATTATCTTGGCAGAGAGACAGTTATGCATATTTATAGAATATATTTTTTGTTTTTCTTCTGCACCACAGTGTTATTCTCTGATAACTACGTAGCTTCTATATGAGGGGGAAAAAAAAAGAAAAATAAAAGATGACCTTGAAACATTTGCTAAAGATCAATGTTGCTAGAGTCACACATTAACTGAAGACAGATAGAAATATTTTGATTGAATCTTGTTTGAAAAACTTGAGACATATCAGTCTAATATGGTGAAAGTTTAAGGTCTAATAGTCTAAAGCATTGACATGATGTGGCCAGAACTGAAGTGGTGGGATACAGGTCAGTCCACACAGCTTCAAAGAAATTAGTATTTTAAAATGTCGTGCTCCAAAATTCTTCCCTATAATATCTGTAAAATGCTTACTTGCTATGATTGAGAATTCTGTTCTGTAATTTCTATAATCCACACACATTACCATTCATTAAACCATAACAACCCACATAACAGTTACAAAACACCAAAACTTAAATGCACACCTGCACAACCCACTTACGCCAATCCAAATCTAGCTACCAACTGCTACTGCTGGTTCAGCTTGTAGGGCTAGTTCCTCTGCTATACATACTATGCAATTATTTTGGCCTTCAGGGACTTAAAACCACTAAGCCACCCAAGTGGTTGAATACATACAAAACTCACATCTGCCTTCCTTTAGAAAGCAACCTAAATATTATAGTTCTTTTAAGTATACCTGCACATAAAGCTGAGTCAGCTTTTGAGGTTCAAATTTTATTTTACCAAAATCAAACATGTAAGCAGTAGAGTACAGAGATAAATCTGCTGCAAAATTTAAACTTTTAACAGTTTTAGATTTTCAAATGCAAAACTACTGTGTGCCAATTAATTTTAGCTTTTAATGTTAATTCTAGTTTTCAATCTTTCATCCATAAGGTTCCCTTGGTTCATAGTTATTTTAAACATAGTACCTCTGATTTTTCTTTTATTTCCTCTCTTATTTGCCTTTTTTTGCCTTTTTTTCCCTTATCAGTCAATTTGACTAAGCAGTAAAATTCACTGAGAGATGTAGGACTATTATATCATCTTTTCTGCAAGCACCATAATCTAGAAAATGGCAATAAATTAATTCAGTTCACTGGAGGAATTTATTTTCATAATGCTGAGACATGGAAATAGGTTTTACAGACAACAACTGATCTAAACTTCAACACACAAGCCTGTCATCACATACCTTTTAACCATGAATTACCACACACAATGCTATTCCTGAAGCTTTTCCTAGTTTCTTGATTGACTTATAAACTATGCAAGTGTACCTTAATAAATGGGATAGCACAAGGCAAAAAGCAGGTATTTGGCCAGGGTTTTGTAAAATGACCTGGGATAAGGAATGAAAAAACAGAAGACAGTAGCACTACCTCACTTCAGAAAGCAGCGACATTCTGATTTTGTAGGAGAAAGAATAGCAAAGCTATCCGAAGTAAATGCATGATTTCCTTATCACTGATTTCAGAAGTATATATGCAATATACCTCAAAATGAAGTCAAGACACAACAAAATTTTTAAAAATACTAGAAGAGTTCTGAATCTTTATTATTAGTGACTTCACAGGTCAAAGAACCTAAATACTACAGGGAACCTAAATAAGTAATATTTTTAATGTTTCCATAAGTGTCATGGAAATGTTAATCAAAAGAGAAAAAGCACAAGACAAATGTAGAAATAACCAAGACAGAATACTTAATAAAACTCAGTATCATTTCAATTCTGCAAGTATGTATACATGCAGTCAGTTACCTCAGAAAAATGAGAAAGGCATCATCTAGAAGTGGTGAAAAATGAGAAAACATGTTGAACAAAGAATGCGAATAATTAGGTTAGTGTGGGTAAATAGAGCCATTAGGTATTGTGTGAGAGAAAGCGCAATACAAAGTAACTTGAGCAGTAGTGAGGACACAAATCACAAATTTGAATCATATAAAATGGAGGAGGGAGTTAATACACCCTGATTTTTGCTTGGTTCTCTCGCGATCACTAACTACAATGATGTTACCATCCATAGTTTCCTCTTCACAGAGAATGGTAGCTAAATTTAACCATCAGAGTTCGAGCTTCGTTTTGTTTTGTATCTACCACTTAATATTTTCTCCCTCCTAATAATTACAAACTCACACAAATTTGTCTTCAAACACATCTTTTTTCCTTTGCATGCTTGTTTTATCTTAAGAGACAGAGAAATCCAGCAAACCAGGCACCTGTATACATATAAATAAGTACTAAACTCAATCACAGCAAATACATTTGAAAGTGAAGAACTAGGCGAGTTAAAAAGCCATGCCAACCAGATGGCTCAGCAGATAATGCAGCATGTGGCACGCAAAGTGCCAGAACTTAGTGTTCTTATTTCTAAGACTGACAGCGTCCAGACAGAGATGTTCTCATATTCTGAATATTAGCTATGCAATTTATCTCCTCTCTTAAGCCCGAAATGTGGTCACAGTGTAAACCTTCGGTCTCCAAAAAGGCCCTTTATATTGCAAGCTGTAGAAAATAATCAAAGGCAACAGTAGCTATTCTCTGTCTGCAGAGAAGAGTCAATGTCTACGTTTTTCAGTGTTATTTACAGAAATATCTCAATTCTTTCTGGACATACTATCCAGGCTGCAGACCAACCATGCCACGGACACAGAGATATCAAAGTGCTGCAGTGCTGGGCCAGGTCAGGTCTTGCTTGGATTGTTAGCTCAGACAAAACCCTGCATGAACATTGCAGTATAGCTGCCAGGTCAGAACAGTTCCAGGAGCCATTTAACTGCTCTAGCATGGCATAGAGCCTGAACTAATAAACCTCACCGGATCTGAGCTGGCAGCGTGCAAGGCCAGCTCCAGATACCGCACCATGTTCCTGCTACTAGGACCACTTATAACCTGCTAAATCAGATTTGAGGAGGTCTCCTTTGCAGTAAGTCTGCATGAAATAAGCCTGCATGAAATAACTCTTTTGAAACAATGCTTTATTATGTTATGAAGCACATGATGCAGCAGAGGATCTAACATCAAAGGACTATAGTATTTTTACAAAATAGTTGACAAACTATTAAGTTCTGCTACTGTAAAGTCACCAAGTTAAAACCATGAGCTTTCCTTTCACACCTGGGAATGAGCTGCTTATCACAAACTAAGATCTGTTTCTCTGTTTCTAGGAACATGCCAAATCCATCCACCAAGAGAGTCCTATTTTCAATAATTCCCTTTTTACAGCTTTACAGTAAAACAGTGTTTGAGCCTACTGATGGTAATCAGCTTCTCCTTTACAAATTCCTTTTATTTTGTTCAGAATCATTAAAGCTCATGTGTTAGTTATCCAAGGCTTCTTATTACAGCTTTACTTTTATCTGATTCCAGATACTGGTCAATGATACATTCATGTACTCTTAATCAGAGATTTATTTAAACCAAGCCATGTAAAAAGAGACCAAAACACGTTTTTAAAAGGTTTGACTTAATTTAATATGAGCTAATTTGAATAGTTTTCTAATGTAACAACTATCATTGTCAGATGCTAAATATATGCAATTTAGAGACAGAGAGTAAGTCCTTGAAGGAGTTCATAAGCAGTGTAACTTACTAGCTTGAAAAATCAGAAAGCACTATTTTACTATCAGAAAAAAGAGCACTTATAGGTTCTTCAATTAATTTACTTCATTTTCATTTCCACTTCTCTTTCTACTCTTTTTTCCTTTGAGAGAGGAAGGGGCATAGACATCCAATACTTAATGACACACATAACAGGAAAAAAACATAGCTCATCAGGAATTATGCAGTGTTCCCATAAACATAATAAAGGCACAAAAGGCACAAATAAATAATAAGGCACAAAATGCTTGTGAAGTATTTTGCTTTAAATTACTTTATCCTATAATAGTTACAGAACCAAATATACTCATACTTTGTACACTCCTCTGCTCAGGAAATCACTGAGACAACATAAGATATGTCCATTAAACCTTTAACTTTCTTCATTTACTTTCTTTGAAACACTCAAATTATAATTTACTATTTTTGTAATTAAAATTTAAATAATTAAATTTTAGGCTCTATTTTTTGAGTTCACTAATTAATTCATAATATACTAGTAAAATTTGTAATCCAGCAGAATCCCATAAAACCTTGGTCATACTAGAAGTACATTATTTTCGTCTGAGAAGTAAAACAAGGCAACCAATTTAAACTAGAAATACTACTCAGCAGCTGTACAGAATACCTTGCCCAGTTACACACTTACTGATTTGTGGAGCTGGTAAAATCCGTGCAGCTCGAACTGGACCATGGCGGACAGAAAAGAGTTCCTGAGCTTCACCACTGATCTGCAAAACATATGGATTATGAATATGCAATGTAAAAAATATATACACTTATAAAAATATATATATTTAGTAGGTAAGAAAGTAGGTAGAAAGACATTGTACGAAAGGTCGGTAAGACATTGCCTTTCTAACCAACCATCTGCAATTTCTCTACATGAGAATATCTTGAAGTCTTGAATTACACACATTGTAGTAACAAAGACGGCCTGCCTCTAGAAATGCGTGGCTTAGACTCCGTGAATGAGATACTAGCAGTACTACTACTAAAAGAAACAAGACTTGGAAGTTGAATGCTGACTAAAATTAACGAAAGTTCAAGAAATTTGAAACACAAGCATTTATTCTACACAGTGCATGTTGCAAAGAAAAATGCTAACTAACCAGTGATCAAGAGTGGCAAACATTGGTGGTAAAAGATCAGAGAATTTGATATATTGGTACGTTCCATATTCTCCAGGTGTGAAAATTATGTTTAAAAATAGGGAGTCAAACTAATTAAGTTTGTCACTAATGGCAATATTGAAAAGATTAAATCAGAAGCAGTTAAGAAGAATTTCCAGACTTCCTGTAAATGGTCAGTCAGAATGCATTTTCATAACTGCCTGGTAATGGATCCGATATGGAACGTCAAACTTCAGGAAAATGGCAAACATTATGAAGCTCATTTCCAAACAACCAACAACTTAAAACAGATGTAATGAGACTAAGAACATAGCCAAGATGTTGGCATAAAGTTTTGCCAAACAAGCAGTTTACGGTATCAGAAGTTAATACAATTTGGAACAAGGTTCTTATGAATCAATAAACTATAAATCCAAGTTAGCTTTTTGAAATGTCATTTTATAGTTGTTCCCATTTCTTTCTGCACTTCAGATCACACGTTCAAAAAGTTAAAATACTACTACTGTTTGACCAACAAATCATAAGCATAGTACTTCAGACTCTTAGCTTACTTCCAATCTGAACCCCGAGCCTCATTATTTATTATCACTGTTTTAGATAATGTGGGCAGAATGAAACTTACCCCATTGAAACATAAGTCTTCCATAAGATTACTTTGAAAACACTATTTACTACAGAGGTAGCCCATCATTCTGTAAACAGTAAGTAAACATAGAATGTAGTGAACTACTGCTTTTCTATATTACACCTGGAATAACATTCAAGCTACACAAATTTGGGGAAATAACATTCTTAGCCATTTTAGATTTGCAGACAGCTAGCAGTTCCACATTGGTATGAATCAACATTACTGCCAACGATGTGATCAGAATTATTCCTGATGGACACAACAGTTTTAAAAATGTAATCAATATGAGAATTAATCCCTTAGTCTACCCTGCTCTTATTTTATTAGGCAGATGTTCCAATCGTAACAGATTCTCCTCTTCCAGCTAGCAGCATCATCTGAACAACATACAACATTGTAGTACTCCAGCTTCTGCAAAACAAGTTTAATTCTCCCTCTGGGACAGCTAGAGGCCTCTGCTCTGAAGAGCTTGCTGACCAGATTCTACACAAGACAAAAGAATGATGATCAGAAATCAACTCAGTAAAGGTTTGCTGATCATGAGTTTGGAGGACAGTGTGGAGAAAAAAAAGCACACAGATAACATCTGCATCCAGAAAAGACAGCTTGGAAAATAATGCACAGCTAAGTAAAAAATGAGAAAAATTAAAGAGAGAGAGAAAGAGAGAGAGTAATAAAGAGATGAAAGGAGATTAAGACGTTTTCTATCCATTGGAACACACCAGCTCTATGAAAAGGGAAAGGAGGAAATGGAGAAGAAGAAAAATATAAGGCTTTGGAACTATTATTATTGGCAATTAAAGATTTTTTCCCCCAAATAATGAAAATGCTGTTTCACATGTGTATGCACATCAATGGCTATGAATGAAAACAAGAGGGAAAAGAACTAGCATAACAAAAGTATGGAAGAAGTGACTCACATAAAATAATCCAACCCAATTCAGTCACCTCCTTCTACTTTTTAACTATGCCAGCACATCAGCTTTAACTCCAATCTACTTCAAATAAAGTTATAGTCCCACAAGTAAGATACATGAAGAAGGCCAAGCCTTCTTAACTCAGTTTCTGCTCTTAAATATACTGAACTCCAGAGAGCATGTTTATTTAGCCTGTGATGCCAAGACCTGGTAGAGCTTAAAGTTGAGATTTTCAAAGAAAAGCCTAAAATGTACAAATACAAATGAAGTTTATTTGTACTTCAGCACCTAACACGAAAATCCCAGCCCAGCTCTTCTCATGCATATAATGTTTCTACTTTTTAATAATTAATATTCATTATTTGAAAGATAACTATTTTATCATTTTATACTGGGGGGAAATTACAGAAGGAAATGTTAAATGGACTAACCAAAGACACAGAATCAGACAGTGACGAGATTATAAGTAGTTTGCTCCTAACTGTTTTGAGACCGCTGTAATGTGTAATACTGTAGTGTAACATGTCCTTTCCTCTCAGTCTGTGTAGGATTTTTTTTTCCCCCAGGAAAGGGGAAACTGTGTTGAACTAAGAAAAAAAGGCAAGTAAACGTTCAGATAACTTCAGCCATCTGTACAGCTTATGTACTTAGCAGGTTATATGTTGCTGACTCCTTGGAGCCAAAAAGGAGCAAATTTTAAGATACACCTCTACTGCACATTTTGTAATGAAAATACAAGATCCCATCCAACTACTGGCATCTCATTTGTAAAGAAAAAGTCAAATTCAGTAAAAAGCACAAAAAAGTTTACAAAAAATATGGACATGACACTACAACATGGTCCAGATTAAAACACCAATACTTAATCAATCATAGCTCCATAAAATAACAGTTTTCTTACGGGATTTTTTTTGAATTTGATGTCCTTAACTGTTCTACAGAAACAGGAAATCATAGCAGGCATTGGACTTTGTTGTGTGCCCTGAATTAGTAAGAGCTTGGTTTTTCCTCTGGTTTGTTTGGCATTGAAAAATGCATTAAGGCTTTAGAGTTCAAGATTTTCTGCGACTTACAATTAACTTTTTTTAAACACTACCACCAGCAGAAGCTTCTGCTATTTGCAGTCTAATAAAATTCTGAATTAACTGTGGTTGATCCTAATGCCCTTCATTTAGCTATATAAAACATAAAACTTTATTACCATTGCTGAGGCCACATGTATCAATCTTGACTGAAAGCACCATCTTCAGAGTAGAGAGATTATATATTCTGATCTTCCTGCCAGTTCAGGCCTTATCTCACTCCTGAGGCAGCCAACATAGACAGCCAATCTTTTCTGTGAATGGGACACTTATTCCACTAGGAACTAAAGTGGGACAAGGAACTACATTTAACATAAGCCCAGCCCCATCGCTAAATGGACAACAACTTTGTCACTGCCAGTTTGGGTGAGATGTGGGCTGGCAAGTTTAAGTAAAAGGCTCCACATCCCGTTACCAGTCCCTGGAGCTACACAGTCTCGTAAGCATAGACAAAATATAAATAGATTTCATGAACTGAAAACAGAGCTTTAAATTCTTCAAAAAGCACCTGTGAAGAAACCCGGCTGTGGCTGCCATTTTGGATTTGATCCAGCTAAGTAGCGAGTCCCTGTGGCAGCTTTCAAAGCTCTTAAAAGTTTTTCTTTCCCATTCCAAAAGCCAAGAATATTTCCAAACAGGTTTCAAGAATTGAATATTAAGCTATAAAAGCAGCTTCAGGTACTCGTTCTATGAAAGAGTGAATCCAAAATGACGGCTCCAAGCCGGTCTGATAGAACATGTCAGCTTTCCCAGCGCCTGGTATCAAACCACAAGCCCCAGACCTACATGGAAGGCTGCAAGCAAAGAACACGCCGATTCAAAACCTGGCCCCCAATGAAGTCCTCATCGCTCTCTCCCAACAATGACAGATTGAAAGAGGAAGAAGAACCCTCTCCTCCACTTAGACGTCTTGCGCTACTGCTTAAAATACGACAGACCAGAAATCTGGAGCACTGGTTAATTTTTGATGACAGAGCTTTATTGTTTGGAGCATACCAGTTTGCACCCATAAAAAAACAGAACAAAGGAAGTTTTGTTCACACTAAGGATAACTAATAGTTTCCAACCATAGAAAATGGTTTTCACATGGTGAAAAAAAAATGTCAAACATACACCAAACTGAAACAAAACTCAAAACTCAATGTTAAACTACTGTGCAGCCATACAAAAGCAAACTGCTTTAAAAACTGTCACAGAGCATAGGGAAGATACCAGGGTTCGGTGTTTTTTTTTTTTACTATTCTGATATGTTGCAATTATTACCTAGATTATCATGATATGATGTTAAAATATGACAATAAGCAACTGACAGATATCACCACAAAATACTGTTTGATATAATCACGTTAGGTTAAAGACTACTACCAGTCATCTTGCTACTGAGAGAGTAAGGAAGGACTGTAAGTAAAAGGACAATTTTTATCATTTTAGTTTAGAAATTCAAACAGTCCACTTTTTCATTCAAAACAAATCTCCATAATTATCTAGAGATTACAAGAATTTAGATGCTCAAAGAATATTACAGACATTTACTCTAGTTACTGAATTAAGTATGAAATTGCACCTAGCATTTAAAATTATGACAACGCTAATTGAATTTAAAAAACAATGAAAGCTTAGAAATTGTTTTGGTTACAGTTTCCTCAACATTCTCGCTTTATTTGTCATACATTTTGAGGAGTTTTAGCATGATCAGGCTGCAGGCTCCCTATAAAATTTTAATTTGGGGGACAGTTCTGCATTGTTTCTAATCACTTTATTTCTACAAAAAGACAAGGATGACGCAGACAATATTGGAAGGAGGCAGAATTTGGGTAAAAACACCCTTCATGAGTCCTCATTTTAGCTTTGACCCCGTCTAAGGAGAGCCACATGGAACACCGTTTGGACTTTTCTGATACCTCTCACCACATCCTTTTCAAAGGTTGTTGCACATGCTTTTTTTCCTACTGATGTAGGGTATAATATGAGTTTAAAAAAAACTTCCAACAGTTCTGCAGTCACTTTATGGCTGTAAAACCAGAAAGTTTCTTACATACTGCTAGCATCTGCAGTGTAAAAAACCAAAGCCTCAGAAAATGATTTGCATAGATGTTTTGTAAAGTCCTTAGACATTTTTCAGGGTTACTAGGTCAGGTCATTACTACATTTTTCCAAGTGTCTAATACAAGCCTTAACAGCGGTACCCTCTATCAGAAGGAGGTCTGGACAGAGGAAGGGTCGCAGCTTACTATGCGATAAGCGACTAGTCCTTTTCCCAGCTCTAAAATGGGAAGAATTACAAAGGGACTAAGAAGACCACATCGAAACCCCAGCAGTCAGGGCTTTTCATGAACAATTGAGAAAACAAAATGGAACTGGCATGTCTGACTTACCATATACATCCATCTGTACATCCACATACACACACCATCTGCTGTACAACTGCAGTTTTAACAACTTAAAAGTCATACTATTATTGACAGCAGCATTTAAAGAAATTTAAGGTCTGGCAGTAGAAAAATGGCAGTGCATGATGCCATCCTTGTCCAACAAGTCCTCTGCATTCCAGAGGTCTCTACACGGAAGTCACCTACCATGTGGGCTGACGCATCCCGTCAGTCTGTGGCAGTGTCATTATACCACAGCCTTTAAGTATTTTTCACTAAATATACAGCCGTGTTTGTTATTAAAAGGTCCCTTTGGTAGTTCCTACTTTATTCAACTCAAGCTTGATAATTCTTTTTTAACTGTAACATGAACCATTAAATTAAGATGATTTTTCTACTTCTGAAGCTTCCAGCATACAATGAAAAAAAAATTATCTGTCACAAAACCAGCCAACATGCATCTCCCTGAACAGGAACATCTAGAACAGATACTTGGAAACCACATTAGGCAGAAACCAGTTCCAATTGTATTTGAAACATGAAACTGGGAGCAAGGGAAAACCAAATTCCAAATAAAACACAAAACTACGCTGCACAATTATCAAATAGGAACTTCTAGTCATACTTTTGTATATTCCCAGATTTCTCCCCACTTAGCAAGGCATATTTTAAGAACACTTTTAACCTTTCCACCCCCATTTCAAAACAAAGATCAAAGGAAAATCGTTTGGACGGACACCTTCCGCTTCTTATGCAATACAGATTTAGACACTACACTTCAGAACCCAGCAGTCCAAACATTATTTCAGTCCTTTGAAGCAGCCCTAATGGTATCTTCCATTTGCAAGTAACACTTCTGTAGTCAAAGATCTTACTCCAAGGAGATGTTAATGTGAAACCACTCAGACTGCAAAGAGACACACACTCCTGGAGGCAGACTGCGAAGGTGTTTAGAAGTCAATGTAACACCATTACGGAGAGTGTCAGCTTAGAAGCTGTCATAAACACTTCATAATCACTCAGACACAAACCGGACTGCCTGCAACACATTACTTTATTAAGTGCTGAATAGAGGTTCAATTGTACGAATAAAAAGCACAATGCTACAGATAATAGCCTTACTGAGTAGATTTTCACATAAATGTCAAATTGTTGCTTTTCCAGATTGAAAGGTTTTTAAACTATAGAGATCTGTTTTTTTTCTTAACTGGAATAATGTTGCTTAATTACAAGCTAAATACTCAGCAAGATCAAGAAGAAAGGTTTGTATAATACCAAAGGACAAAAAAAGTGGTGCCAAATAAACTCTAACTATGTCAGTCACATAACTGCCAGATTTTATTTTACTCAGACTATGTAAGCAAAAAAATGAGATGGAGAAACAATAACATGGAAAAAAAACAGGTTATGTTACCTCCAAATTTGTTGGATATACAAATCCTGCTCCGAAAAGATATTTAAAATTGATGTTAAAGACTATCAATCTGAGAAATTCTCCAAGACCATCTTACTAACAAAGGAACCATTCCAATGTTGAAATTATGCTAACACATATAAATTGCACAGGTCAAAGCACCCCTCTGGATGTGATCTCAGAATTTCACAGAATATACAAATGAAGGACTGACAAAGTGATGCAATATCTCTACAGCTGACATTCTTAAGATGGATGGTAAAAATATTTCCACATTTGGCATTTTTTCCATTTCACTGGACTTAACCCCTACCCATTAAAAAAAACCTCTGCAAAAAATGAACAACACCAAGAGAAACTGTCCTGCGATTTCATTTTTCTTATTTTACCTAAAATATTAAATACTATCAAAATCTAAGACTTACGAAGAAGTGAAATACACTGGGGGGAAAAAAGACAACCTGGCTGTATCGTCCTACTGAAAAAGAAGGTAACATCAGGTATTCCGTGGCCTAACTTGTGGTTAATTCAGACACAAGAAGGGGAAGAAAAAAAAGAAAAAAAGAAAAAACCCACGCACAAACCCAAAGAAAAACCCTCTTTTCCCCTAGGAAACACGGATAAGCTACCTTGTACTACCTGCCTGACAGTAGACACAGTAAACACACTTACTCCACATAAGCCTGGATAAACAAAGTAGTTTAACTCATCGTTTGTTAGTAATCTCCATCAAATTATTTCATGCTTACTGCAGTGTACCATGGGGTAAGAGTTTAAACGCAGACAGTTAATGCAGAACAGGTTACACCGAGCTAATGTGTTCACGTACCAAAGAACTCAGACTCTCTTCTTCCGTTCTTGCTTTCCTTATCCACATAAGATCCCACCTCACAACAAATTTCTCAAGGGCATTGATACAGATAGCTCTGA